AATCCATCACATATAGATATTCCATTAGACAGAAAGAATCCATCACATATAGATGTACCATTAGATAGATACAATCCATCCCATATAGATATACCATTAGATAGATAGAATCCATCACATATAGATATACCATTAGACAGAAAGAATCCATCACATATAGATGTACCATTAGATAGATAGATATGATCCATCACATATAGATATACCATTAGATAGATACAATCCATCACATACAGATACACCATTAGATAGATATGATCCATCACATATAGATACACCATTGTTGTTGTTCGGTACTATTGGTCGGGTTCCAACTCATAGTCACTCTGTGTAAGCAGAACGAAACCCTGCCCCGCCCTGTCCCATCCTCGCACTCGCTCTTCTGTTTGAGTCCATTGTTGCAGCCACTGGGTCCATTCTTCATGTCCAGGACCTTCCTTTTTTTTTCTTTTTCTTGCTGCCCTCTACTTTTCCAAGCAGGACGTCCTTTTCCAGGGACCAGTCTCTCCTGATAACATATCCAAGTGTGTGGGTCAAAGTCTCCTCTCTTCAATTCCAACAAGCACTCTGGCTGTCCTTCCAAGACAGATTTGTCTGTTCTCGGCCAACCGTGCTACTTGCAATATTCTTCGTCAGCACCATAATTCAAATGCATCCACTCTTCTTTGGCCTTCTTTATTCAGTGTCCAACTCTCACATGCATATGATGCAATGGATGGCACTATAATTTGGATCAGGCACACCTTAGTCCTCAAAACAACATCTTTGCGTTTGAAGAGTGTGCAGTAGGTTTGCCCAAAGTGATATGTTATTAGATTTCTTGACGACTGCTTCCCAGCAAAATGAAATCGTTGATAACCTCACTTTCTTCTCCATTTACCATGATGTCACCTATTGGTCCAGTTGTGAGAATTTAGGGGTTTTTACATTGAATTGTAATCCCTACTGAAGGCTGTAATTCTTGATCATCAGCCAGTGCCTCCTCTTTGCTTTTGGCAAGTGGGTACCCTGGAGTGTGCTTATCCAGCTGTCTCCTGATGATGCTTAGGTTGCTTATAGCTCTTGGCTCGTCCAGATAAAGCTGCTGTGAAAATTTGTACATAAGCCTCGATATGCACACGATGCGTGTTTTGAGACTGCTAGTGATAGCCACATAGGAAAGAAAGGTTCTGCCACTGTCCACTACTATTACCTACCACTACTATCCTAGTCAGAGACTCTGTGGGGGAGGGAAGGGCAGCTAAATAGGGGCAAGAAGAACTTGAAAGAGGAGGGGAGGGAGGTGATGGGATTTTTATGGTAGTGGGTGAAGGTGCCGTGAGGGTTCCCTTAAGTGCTGGGAACTTCTTACTGGCACCAAATGAGGGAGAACTTTTTTCTCCATTGACCAGATGTGGGGAAGAGGAAGGGAGAGGAGTCGAGCTACAGTACTGAGAGGAGTGGACTATCACAAAAGGAGTCAGCCTTTTCATGTTCTCCCCCAAGGCTTGAGAGATGACTGGTAGTGATAATCTGTTTTGTTTGTTTTTATTGGATTTGAATTTATTTAAGCAAGTCATTATGGTACTTGGTGAGACCTATAGCCTAAAGCCAATAAGAGAATAAATATTTTCATTGACCGTCTTATTAAAAAGCCCAAGATTGTATATGCCAAAGTGTAAAATTTGTGTCTGGTCTCTATTCTGCATGTCCGGGTGCCTGAAAGGAAAGGGTGTCTTGCTGAGACTTTATTATGCCTCCAACAGGTGGAGGGAAATACATTCTCTCTCTCTCTCCTTCTCTCCCTCCCTCCCTCCCTCATTGGCAGTTACTGGATTTACTGCGGCATGACAAGACTCTCTAAACTGCTCAGATTTAAAATGGTCTTTCTTCAGAGAGTCCCAAAATCAGTATCTTCAGGGTGAGGGCTGTCCTCCCAGGCCACGAGTACATTTCTCTATAGTCACAAAGACATTTGCCACCTGCTTCTAGGAGTTTGGGCCTTATCCCTCTGTGCTCTTGCCTCCTGATGGTGGGGCCGTGGCTTGGATAATTAGTCTTTCCTCTGAGTGCTCTATAGAATGGAGCTGATGCCTGGTGGAGAGTCACGAGCAACGATCACAGGGTAAAGAGTGTGCCCCTGAGCCTAACATCCATCAGCTTATGCTGGAATGGAAACAATTCAACTGCAGGCAGATATGTAAACCTTGGCCAAGATGCATGACTTAGAACCATTTTATTTATTTTTATTTTTATTATTTTTTGTGCTCCATGTATGTTTATTTATTTTAAAAAAATCATTTTACTGGGGGCTCATACAACTCTTATCACAACCCATCCATACATCTATTGTGTCAAGTACTTTTGTACATTTGTTGCCATCATCATTCTCAAGACATCTGCTTTCTACTTGAGCCCTTGCTATCAGCTCCTCATTTTCCCCCTCCCCATTCTCCCTCCCCACTCCTCTCTCCATCATGAACCATTGATACTTTATAAATTATTATTATTTTGTCATATCTTACACTGTCCGACGTTTCCCTTTACCCACTTTTCTTTTGTCCATCCCCCAGGGATGAGGTTATATGAAGATCCTTGTAATCCGTTCCCCCTTTCCACCCCACCTTCCCTCCACCCTCCGGTATCAACTCTCTCACCACTGGTCCTGAAGGGATCATCTGTCCTGGATTTCCTGTGCTTCCAGTTCCTATCTGTACCAGTGCACAACGGAATTAGTGAGTTTAATAAAGACTCCACATGGTTTTTATTGGGGGTGATCTTTCAGAATTAGATTGCCAGGCATTTCTTCCGGGGCACCGCTGGGTACATTTGAACCCTGCAACCTTTCCATTAGTAGCTGAGGGCTTAAACATTTGTGCCCACCCAGAGACAGCCCACAAAATCCTATGAGAGGGAGCTCTGACTGTCCCTGCCAGCAAAGGGAGGAAGGCATGATCTGTGGTCTAAGATCACCCAGCTGGTACCAACTGGTTCCTGCAGCCTGACCCCAAAGGCAGCTCTGCAGTTGATGGCTCGGCTTTGTTATGAGGCAGCAGATATGCCCCCACGTGGGTGCTTTGAACAAACAGAAACCGGTGTTCTCACTGTTGGGGAGACCAGAAGTCTGAATTCAGGGGGCAGGTCCAAGTGAACGCTTGCTTTCTTGGTCAGCTCTGGAGGAAAGTCCCTACCATCAGTATTTCCATGGGTCTCAGAAGGAGCCCTGGTGGTGTAGGAGTGGTTACACATTGGGCTGCTGACCCCCAAGTTCAGCAGTTCGAAACCACCAGCCACTCCTCTGGAGAAAGAGGAGGCTTTCTACTCCCTCAAAGAATTATAGCTTAGAACCATTTTAAAGAGCCATGATCTCATACTCCTGTCTCTAAATTCCAGTGAATGAAACGTCTGAGTCAATTTGGTTAAATATTTGACAAATGGAGCCCTAGGACTGGCCCTAAACCAGTTCAAAGTGCAAGATTGCAAGCAGGCTGCAACTAAATGCCCATGCTCGCCAGTGAGCCCACAAATGGTCTTGCGGTTGCCCTTGGATGTGGGATCAACCCGTCACCCCAAATTACCTGGTGCTGATGTTAAAGTCCTCTTGATGATGGGTACACATTGTATAAAAGTTTTATATATATATATATATATATATATATATATATATA